TAAAAATATTTTATTTACTAAAAACATGTTAAATATTGAATAATTATATATTATAATATATGTTATGTATACTATAAAAATAATTAATAAATATATATATATATACTGTATATAAAGTAAATTATCAATAAAACATATAAATAAACTATTTGTAATGATATATTTTTATTTGTAAATGTACTTACTCTCTGTAAAATATATACATAACTAACAAAATAAAATCAATAAAATATATTATTTTGTAATAAAACTTTTAATAATAATAATTATACTTAAAAAATATTTAATATTATTTCTAATATCATTTAAATAAAGTTTCTAATTATTCTGAAATTAATATTAAAATAATAATATTTCTAAATATTCTAACAATAATACTATTACTGTATTATTAAATAATTACTAATAATAATAATAATAATGTTATTTTTAATATTTTTATTATTATTTATAAATAATTTGCGTTTTATTATCGGTATAAATGACAACAATTTATTGTAAAAATAATAAATATCTGTTACTATTAAAAACAACAACAAAAAACATATAAATTAGATATTTTTATTAAAAAAAAATTCATTATAGATATAAAAGTATATTAACAAACTTTCATTTTATAATAAAACTTTTAATAATAATAAAAATAATATTTAATAATATTTAATTAATATCATATAAATAATTAAAAATATTTTTTAATAATAATATTATGCTATAAATTTAAAACTCAAAATAATAATAATAATAATAATGTTATTATTACTGATATTATTATTATTATTTATAAATAATTTGCATTTTATTATCGGTATAAATGACAACAACAATATGTGTAATAATTTTGATTTGAATTTTCGTGAAAATATTCAAAGATTAGTAAATAAAGTTTGTTTACCCAAACAAACTGATACTAAAATTGTGCGTAAATTAATTGATTGTAAAGTTAAGGCATTGAACGGAGCATCAAATGATATGAAACAATTGAAAGCTAAAGTAAACTAAATTTAAATATAATTTTATTTTTATTTATTTTTTTTAAAAAAAAAATATTAATATTAATTTTTTTAGTCGACTACTATCTATAATAAAATATTATTATTATTATTATTATTATTAATAGTAAATAGCAATTAAAAGCTAAACACTAAATAACTGTAATTATTTATTTATTTAGATGTATTTTAATAATTATTTTAATAAATACAGATTACAAATATTGTTATCAAAAAAAAAATGTTTTTATTTATTAATTAGTGTTTAACTAATTATGTATTAGATTATTTATTTTTAGATTATTTTACTTTAAAAATATATACTGTATATAATCTAATTTGTTATATATATATATATATATTTATTTTTAATATATTTATTTAGTAATTTTAATTTTTAATTTAAAAACAAAATTATTTTATTATATATATATATATATAGTATGATAAATTTGTTGACCACTGTGTCCAAGTGGTTACCGATATAAGCGTCTATAGTAAAGTTGATTTAAAAGATCACCAAGCTAAACGTTTACTATTAGCTGTTTGTTCATCAAAATTTGTCCAATGTGTTACTAATAAATTATCTAGTCAAAATTTGAACCAGATAGTAGATGAAACAATTGAAAAATTAACAGATCAATTTGTAAATTTTTTCCAAATGTTTCTGGTAAGTTTTTAATTAATTAATTAATTATTATTTATTTATTTTTTTCGACTCAATTAATTGTTTTCTAATTTTTTTTAAAAAGATATTTTTAATTTTTAATATTTTTTTTCACTATAGGAATGTGCAAATAAAGTTGTTAATTATGAAATGCTTTTAAATTTCTAATAAAAAAAACTTTTAAAAATTTAAAAACAAAATATTATTATTATTATTATAGATAATCAAAAAAAAAATATTGTACTAATAATACTGTACTTAATACTTAATAATCAATTAATAATGTATTTGTCTTTAATTATTTTTTATTTATAAAAATAGTTTTAATATGATATTATTGACCAAAAAAATATGATAATTACATTATTTTATGTTCTAATTTAAACACAAAAAAAAACAAAAATTATTTATAATATTTAATTGTTTATATAAATAGAAACTTTTTTTTTAATATTTGTTGTTTTCTATATATTTTTTTAAAATAACAAATAATTTTTTTTATCATTTATTTTAAATGTTATATTAAATAATAAACGATTGTATAAATATTCAATAAACTAGATTTTTTAAAAAAAAACTTTTTATTTAATTAAAATATTCAATTAAATATCCAGCTACATGAGATTATCAAAAATTTAAAAACATTTAAAAATCATATAAGTAATTCAAAAAATAATTTACTATTTTTTAAGATAATATATTTATAAAACATTAGATGTGTTTATAATTATTTAACTAAAATAGTTATTGATTTTTTTTCAAAAAAAAAATATTTTATTAAAAACATTAATATTATATAATAATTATATATTATTGAAAAGTTATTTATACTATTAAATAATCAATATATATATTAAAATATATATATATAAAGTAAATATTCAGTAAAAAATCAATAAACTATTAATAAATATATTTTTATATATATATTTTATTGCAAAATAATAACAATAAAAGCTGTATTAGTAAATATTAATTAGAATTTTATGTATATTAATATATTATTATTATTATACCTGTATCGATAACAATAATAAAAAATATTACAAATTATTTTATGTACTTATAAAATTAAACAAACAAAAATACAAAATAAAATCAATAAAATATTTTTTTTATATAATTTTTCTATTATTTATTTACTGGTTAAAACTAAAAAATTAAAAAACTTAGTTTATTATTAAAATTAATAATATATTACTAATGATAAATAATACATATATAAATATAAAAGTAATAAAGTATTTTGATATTATTTATTTAATAAATAATATATATATACAATTATATATTAGTATTTTTTATTATTATTTAAAAAGCTAGTTAAACATTAAAAAAAATTTAATAAACAAAAATCAATGTCATATAAAATTTATTGTTAGTTAATTATATACATTATATTATAAACAGTATATTATATATCTATATTTAAAAAAATTACTTAAAATAAACATATTAAAAACTGTATAACTATATATAAAATTAGAAATTATAATTAACTTAATATTATTAATCATAATTTTATTATATTTTATTTTTTTTTTGTAATAGTATTATTGCAATAGAGATATAAATACTAAATTTTATAATATGTACATGATAATTTTCGTAATAAATTTACTATTAATAATACAATTTTTTATATCAAATATTAATGCCAACAATAATACTGATAATAATTTTAATGATGAAAACACGCGTAAGTTTAACAAAGCGTTTTGTTTGCCCAACAAAACTGATACGCAAATCGTGCGTAAAATAATTGATTGCAAAAAATGGTCGCTAAACGGGTCATCAAATAAAATGAAACAATTGATAGCTAAAGTAATTATTTTATATATATATATATATAATAAAACTTATTATAAATTAATTTTCTATAAAAAAAATAATTCATAAAACTATTTATAGTTTAATAATTTTTATATTTTTATAGATATAATTTAAATATTCTAACAATAGATTAATTCAGATTTTTTTATCAATGTTTCCTTAATATTAATTATTTATAATTAATTAAAATTAGTTATTATTATTATTACCTTAATATAAAAGATATAATTTGTATAAATATAATTCATTATAATTATAACTATTATTACTATTACTATAATATAATTATAATTTATTGGTTTATATAGTATAGTTTAAACTTAATATAATAAATATTTATAAAATTATTTTTACTAATTAATATATTTAATATTTATAACTAGTTTTATTGTTTTTAGATTTTTTTGAATAATTTTTTTTTAAAAATTTAGATTGAAAATTTAGAGGAACAATGTATCCAGGGCATGGATACTGAATTAATTGATTATGATAAAGTTGATTTAACCGATCATCTAGCTAAACGTTTTCTATTGTGGGAATGTTCCCAGAAATTTGCCAATTGTTATACAACTAAACACAATAGCGATGAGAAACTAGTGAAAAATTTTAGAGAAAATTTACAAAGAATATTCCCAATCACTTAAAATGTTCCTGGTTTGTTTTATTTTAAATTTTGAATTATATAAAATTTTAATATAATATTTTTTTAAGCTATTAATATTTTATTTTATTTTTTTTAAAATATATATTTTAGGAATGTGCATTTAAAGTTTTTAATATATGAAATGTTTACTAAAAATTAATAAATTATCAAATAATAAAAATCATATTAATTTTTTTATATTTAAATAAATTTAATAAAATTTCAAAAAATAAAATTAATTAATTATTTGTATTAAATAAATAATTCCGCTTTAAATTTTAAAATGTTAATATTATTTATACATATTTTATGATTTTTTTATTAAAAATAAAATATATAATTTATACAAAATAAATTATTTATATAAATAATTATTTAAGCACTTATTTTTTTGTAATAATTTTTAAAAAATATTTTTATATCTAAAATGTATCTAATTAAATATTTCAAAAATTCAAAATTTAATGTGAAATTAATTTATAATTATTATATTTCGTGTTTGGATATAAAATTAGACAAATTAAATTTGTTTACCCAGTTTATTTTCTAAAATAATTTTATTTATTTAAGTTTGTAATACAATAGTTTAATAAACTATATACTGATTAAACAAAAAACAAAAAAAACCAATTAATAAATAAAAAATTAATGATTAGAAATATATATATATATATTAATTGATTTTTAATTATTTTAAAATTATTATTAGTTTTAATTTTTATATAATTATTATATAAAAAAAATTATAACTTAGTATATTAAAAAAAATGTTAACATTATTGGTATTGTTAATACTAATCAATTGTTTATTATTAAATATTATTATTATTAAAGCCGATAATAATTTCAATGTTCATGAATTTAATAGAAATTCCCGTAAATTTACGGAATTGTTTTGTATGCCTAACAAAACCGATACGGAAATCGTCCGAAAGATAATTGATTGCGAAATCAAATCATTGAACGGTGTATCCAATGATGTCAAACAATTGAAAGCTGAAGTAATTTTAGTTTATTTTTTATTAATAAATTTTTTTTGAAAATTTTAATTTTTCTCTGTCTCTCTCTGTCTCTCTCTGTCTCTCTCTGTCTCTCTCTGTCTCTCTCTGTCTCTCTCTGTCTCTCTCTGTCTCTCTCTGTCTCTCTCTGTCTCTCTCTGTCTCTCTCTGTCTCTCTCTGTCTCTCTCTGTCTCTCTCTGTCTCTCTCTGTCTCTCTCTGTCTCTCTGTCTCTCTCTGTCTCTCTCTGTCTCTCTGTCTCTCTGTCTCTAAATCTCTTAAATTAGATATAGTTTTATTTAAATTATATATTAAATTATAATTATTTATAACTAAATATTTGAAAAAAACTAATAAATTAATATATCATTTATATCATAATATTATTAATAATACATATAAATATTATAAAAATTTAATTAATTTTTATGCGAATAAAATATATTAATAATAAATATCTAAATAAATAATACATAAGTAAATTAATATTATATATTATTATTAAAATTTAATTATACTCTATATATATATACTGTACATATATGATATTATTGTAAATTAGATTTATATTATATTATATATATATATATTTTTTAAAAAATTCAATATATAGTAGTTTATATAATAGTGTATATAATAGTGTATATAATAGTGTATATAATAGTGTATATAATAGTATATATAATAGTGTATATAATAGTGTATATAATAGTGTATATAATAGTGTATATAATAGTGTATATGATATATATATATAAATTATTAATATTTATTATGAATTTAATTAATTAATTATTTTAGTTAATTATTTTTTTTTTATTTTTAAAAAAAAGTGGCAAAAATTTGGTGAACAATGTATAACAACGGCTGATTTGGATCAGGAAATGGCCGACTATACTAAAGTGGATATAAAATCGGAAAATTTTTTAATAAAATTAAAATTATTACAATCATGTTCAGATAAATTTGGCGACTGTCTAGCAACTAAACGTACTGAAAAATTTATGAAAGATTTCGAGAAAGTTGCCCAAAAATATTACGATTCATTAAAAGTTTATTATGTAAGTTGTAATAATAATAATTGTTTTTGTAATTTAATTTAATTAAATAATTATATTTTTTTTGTAAAAATAATATATATTAATAAAAAATTTAGACTAATTAATAGATATATATATATATATTAATATTTTAATTATTTTAATAATTTTTTTAWTAGGAATGTGGAAACAATGTTCTTAAATCATAAAAYATTTATTTGTTTTTTTWAARTGTGAAAAAAACAATATAATAATCAAMTAATTTTTTTGGTGATAATAATAATTTTTACGAAAAAATTAAATAATWTAAATTAAAAACTAATATTTTAAATAAATTCAATAATTATTTATTTATTGAATTTATATAAATTAAATTTATTTGATAAATAAAATTATATGATAAAAAAATTAATCAAAAAAAAACGTTGTCATTAGTTTATTAGAAAATAATAAATTTATTTTTATAAGAAAAACTATTTATTAAATTATATTTAAATTTTAATTAATTTTCTATCAATTAGCCTATTTTAAATTTAATATTATTTATTCATATATTATTATTTTTATATATTTAAWCTAAATATATTATATATATATATTATATACAAATAGACTAATTATCATAAATAACAGTATATAAYAATTAATTAAAAAAACTAATTATGTATAAATAATCCAGGTTAATAAATATTGGAAAATTTGAATTCAATGTCAAAAATAAATCACAAATATATTATTTAACTAATTAGTGTTTGMAAAAAAAAATTGTTTTTTTACATAAAATAATATAGTATTTAATTAGCTGTTTATTATGCAAACTATTTATTTATTAAAAACTTTAATTTTAAAAAACAATTTTCATTTTTAATTATCTATATACAGCATAAACTTTTTTTTCTGAAAAATTTTAAATTAAATAATATAATATAACTAAACTAATAGATAAAGATTTTTTTAATTTATTTAACTATTAATCAAAATAAAATTTTTACTAAATATTTTATTAACTATTTTTTAATATTATTTTTTAAAAAAAATGTTTACTAAAATATCCATGTTAATTTTATTTGTATTATTCATAATAAACAATTGGTTTTTATTAATAATTAGTAAATCAGATGATAATAATAATAATAATAATAATAATAATAATAATAATACTATCAATGATYACAATATCAGTGAAAATGTCTATAAATTTCAACAATTGTTTTGTATGCCTAATAAAACTGATACGGAAATCGTCCGAAAGATAATTGATTGCGAAATCAAATCAATGAACAGTGTATCCAATGATGTCAAACAATTAAAAGATAAAGTATTTTTAAAAAATAAAATAATTTTAGTTTTGTTGTTTGTTTGCTAAAAAAATTATTACAATTATTACAAACTTGTTTTGAATTGTTTGAAATATTTTGTTAAAATTTTTTATTTAGTCTCTCTCTCTTTCTCTCTCTCTCTCTCTCTCTCTCTCTAAAGATATTTTTTTTAAATATACAGTACATATGTATATATTATATATAATATACAGTATATTATATAAAGTATAATATACTGTATATTATATAAAGTATAATATACTGTATATTATATAAAGTATAATATACTGTATATTATATAAAGTATAATATACTGTATATTATTTAAAGTATAATATACTGTATATTATATAAAGTATAATATAATGTATATTATATAAATTATATATAATATTCAATATATATTTATTTTTTATTAAATTAAATTATTAAATTAATAACTTATTTGATTAGTAGTCTTATATTTAAAAAAAAAATAAATATAATAAAAATATAAAAATTACTATATATTTATTATAATATACTGTATATTATATTAAGTATAATATACTGTATATTATATAAATATATATATATATATATAGAGTATAATATATTGTATATTATATAAATTATATATAATATTCAATATATATTTATTTTTTATTAAATTAAATTATTAAATTAATAACTTATTTGATTAGTAGTCTTATATTTAAAAAAAAATAAATATAATAAAAATATAAAAATTACTATATATTTATTAAAGTATAATATACTGTATATTATATTAAGTATAATATACTGTATATTATATAAAGTATAATATAGTGTATATTATATAGAGTATAATATATTGTATATTATATAAATTATATATAATATTCAATATATATTTATTTTTTATTAAATTAAATTATTAAATTAATAACTTATTTGATTAGTAGTCTTATATTAAAAAAAATAAATATAATAAAAATATAAAAATTACTATATATTTATAAATTTAATTAATTAATTTAATTGTTTTTTAAAAAATTAAAAACTTAAAAAAGTGGCTAAAATTTGAGGAACAATGTATGTCATCAGCTGATATGGATCAGGAGCTGAGCACCTATACTAAAGTCGATATATTAAAAATAAATAACAAAAAATCGGAAACAAAACAAATAATAAAACTACTTATATTAAGCCAATGTTCCGATAAGTTTGAAGATTGTATACTAAATAAACAAACGGAAAAATTTATGAATGATTTCGATAAAATTGCCCAAAAATATTACGATTATTTAAAAGCCTATTATGTAAGTATTGTAGTAATACATTATATATTTTTTTTGATTTTAATTAATTTATAAATAWATATATMTATATATTTAAATAAAATAATTAATTAATTAAGTATAAATTATAGTTATATATATATATTATTATTATTATTATTATTATTATTATTATTTTATTAATAGGATTGTGCAAACAATGTTGTTAAATCATAAAACATGTTATTATTTTATTTATTTTTTTGTATGAAACTTTAATAATAAAATAATTTTAATTTTTATGGATTTAAAAAAATGATTGTATTATTTAAAACAAATATTTATTCAATCAATGAAAATACACGTTATTTTAGTCAAAAAAAATAAAACAATTAATATTTGTATTTTATTTTTTTTTTAAAATAAATGAATGAAATTATTCATAAAAATTTTTAAAAAGTAACAAAATATTAATTAAATTTTTATTTTTTTTGTTAAATTATTATTTCTAACCAAATGTATCAATTTTTTTATATCAAAATATTTATAACATTTAGTTTTAATAAATATTTAACTCAATCAACATATCATATATATATATATATATATATATATAAAATAATTAATTATATTTTATTCTATTGATATTTAATTATAATAAAATTATTATTGTATTTATAAAAAAAATAATATTAATATAATACTAAAACTTATAAAAAAAATAAATAAATTTTTATTAACATAGTTTCAATAATAAAAAAAATATATTAAAGTATTCAAAAAGTATTGTAAATATTTATTTTTAAAAAAAATGCATTGTAATTGAATGTTATTGAAAAAAATAATAAAAATAAACTAAAGTATTTATAATTAACAATAAAAAAAACAATAAACAATTTATAATTTTAAATTATAACTAATATTTTTTTTCACTATTTAATACTTAATAATAATAATAATATTATTATTATTTTTCTCTAAATACTAATACTAAGTAATTATTATGTATTTAAATATATTAATAAAATTTGTTACATATTTACTAATAATAACAACAATTATTACTAATCAATCAAACAATAGTTTAGTCAATTGTTTTCAAGATAATGTTGTTATCGACTATTTGTTTGATACATATATGGCCAACAAATTGGTAACAGTAGTAGGGATGGCCAACAATAGTATAGCTAATAATAATAATAACACCGAAACTAACTGTCCACTAGTTATATCACTAGATGTTTGTGATTTAAGCGATTTTGACAACTTTTTTCATATAAGTATTTTGAAATTTTTTTTTAATAATTTATTGAAAAAAATTATTTTAATTAATTAATTAATTAATTGATTTAGTATCAAAACAAAGTTCAACATTAATGTCTAACAATAATCGCTATGTAAAACAAAATTATCAAAATTCATGGCATTGGTATCATATAGTAATTATGTAAAAAAATATAAATAAATAAATTATTATTATTATTATTTAATATATATTAATCTCATTTAATAATATATAATATTATTTTTGTTTACATTTTTATAGATCAATATTTTTATCAATATTATTGCTAACAATTATCGGTACAATAGTTGATGTTTTAATAATTTCAAATAAATTTGAAAAAATTGGTAATAATTTATTAGTTAGTTAAATATTAATAACAAATTAAATTATTATTATTATTATTAAGTTTTTTTTTAATTTTATACTATTATTATTAATATAACTTTTATTTATATATTTAATTATTATTTAGCAGTAATTTAGATTATTATTTAAAGTTTTTTTAATAATATTTTTTAAATCTAAAAATTTTAATTTTTTTAGTAATACTATCAAAATATCCAAAACTATTGAAATCATTGACAGCTTTTTCTGTCTATACAAACACTGGACAGTTGTTTTTGTTGAGCACCGGTAGYCAAACCGATGATACCATTGACTGTCTGAATGGTATACGTATTATATCAATGGTTATTACTGTAGCTACACATACTAGTTTTGATACAAGATTGATTGCAGGTATAGTTAGCTTATCAAAAAAATAATTAATAAAAAATAATTAATAATTGATATAATTTTTAAAAAATAATATATAAAAATATAACAACAATAAGAAAACTTAAAAAATAAATATTAAAATTAGATAATTATGATAAAAAAAATTATATATAATAACTACTAAATAATATTTTTTATTCAACTAAAACAATTACGATTAAATAACTATCAAATAATATTTATTTATTTATTTAAAAATCAATAGCAGTTTTTAATATACTTAAGATTATGATTTTTAAGTTTAATTTATTTTTTAATATATATTTATATATATCTAGATATAAATAGTTATAAAGTTTTTTGAATATAGTAATAATAATAATTGAATTTTATTAGTATTTAAAAAAAATTAAAACTATAATTACGAAAAATTTTATTAAAAATTAATTATAATAAATATTAATTAAGTAATTAATTAGCAAATATTAATTAAATAATTAATTATAGTAAATATTAATTAAGTAATTAATTAGCAAATATTAATTAAGTAATTAATTAGCAAATATTAATTAAATAATTAATTATAGTAAATATTAATTAAGTAATTAATTAGCAAATATTAATTAAGTAATTAATTAGCAAATATTAATTAAATAATTAATTATAGTAAATATTAATTAAATAATTAATTAGTTAATTAATTAATTAGCAAATGTTGATGACGTCCGACAATTGGAGAAAACATTTTGGTTACAATCTGTAATGAATTTTACCCATTCGGTTGATATATTTTTCCTGGTTTCGGGATTCCTGAACGCCTACGGTATTATCAAATGGGTTAATAAAACGGGACGATTGCCAACAATCGGTTATTGGTTGATAGCGATAGCCAAAAGGTATATAAGGATAACACCGTCGGTATTGGCATTTATTTGGGCAACAATTGCTGGCGAACTACTGTTTACTGGACGACCCCTATGGCACCTGTATGTCAATGAAGTTCAACAAACATGCCATCAATATTGGTGGACACATTTATTATATATTAATAATATTAGACAATTTAATCATGTAAAATTATTATTAGTATTATTTTAACTATTTTTAAAAAAAATATTATCTAGCTTATTTTTTAAAAAATTTAATTTAATTTATATATTAATATATAGTGTGCTTTACATACCTGGTCATTGGCAGCTGATATGCAATTATTATTACTGTCCCCAATTTTGATAATGTTGCTAGCTACTAATAATAAAAAGTAAAATTTATTTTTATTTTTTAATAAAAAATAAACTTATTATTAGCTAAATAATAATTATATAAATGAGTTATACTTGATATTATTATTATTTAGTTAATTATATCAAAATATAACTATTAATATTATTATTATTATTTAGATAATAATAGTTTATAAATTAAGTTTTAATATCAAAATAATATCAAGTATATAACTATTACTAATATTAATAGTTATATTAATAATATTAATTTAACTATTAATAATATTAATATAACTATTATTATTATTTTTTAAAAAATTAAAACTTAATTTTTTTAAAATAAAAATAATTAATTATTTATTTATAGATTACAAAAATTGGGAATTGCTATCAATTTATTGACAATATTAGCTGCCTGTACATGGATTGGTGTAGTGATTGGCCAAAATGGTTTGACACCGACACAGATAAAAACAATTTTGTAAAAAAAATCTAATTTATTATTATTATTACTATAAGTTTACAATTAATTTTTTTTAAAAACAATTTTAGCGACCAAAATTATGTTGATAGAATTTATTTGAAAATTATCGACCATATTGGTCCATATTGTCTGGGTATTTTATTAGCCTATATCTATGTTAACTATAGGAATAGTATTAAAATTAGCAAGGTAATGGGGGGTTTTTTATTATTTTTTTTTTGAATTCAAATAAAAAATTACAATTACCGTTAAATCGGGTTTTTTTCTCCCATATGGAAATGTATGAAAAGTCTAGGGAGGGGGAATAATGCGAATTTTATCACATATATGAAAATTATAGTTTTTTTTATTTTGTATAATAATTTAATGTTTTATCAGGGGTGGTAAAAATGCGAGTTTTTTACCATATAAAAAATATAGTTTTTTACCATATAAAAATATAGTTTTTTTACCATATAAAAAATATATTTTTTTATCCATATAAAAAATATAGTTTTTTTACTATGTATAATAATTTACTGTTTAATTATTATCAGGGATAATTAAAAAATGCGAGTATTTTAACATATTAAAATGTTATTTTATATTTTTTTTTTGATTAATTTACATATGGGAAATAAAACACGATTCTACGGTACTACTACTACTAATAATAATATTTTTTTTTTTAAAATTAATATAACAATTTTAGAAATTGAATACAATTCTATGGCTAATGTGTTTAACAATAAACACCTCAATCATATCAGTCATATATGTATGGGTATCGGGTTTCATTGGCTACCGTAACCCTGTTAGCTGGCTATACGGCTCAATACACCGTACCCTATGGGCCCTGTGCTGGTCATATATTGTCTACAGTTGTTGTACTATCAATACTACTACTACTAGTACTACTAGACTACAGGGTTGGCCATCGGTGGCCAATCGGCTACTATCGTGGCCACCGTTAGTACCGTTAGCTCGGCTATCATTTCAGGCATATCTCTATCATTCAACAGTTATCTATCATTTTGTTTTCAGTTCAAAACAATTGATTAACTATTCATTGGGACAATTGGTATATATTTATTAAATTAATTAATTTTTTTATTTATTTAATTAATTTTTTTATTTTAATTACTTTTTTTATTTAATTAAGTTTTTTATTTAATTAATTTTTTTATTTAATTAATTTTTTTATTTAATTAATTTTTTATTTAATTAATTTTTTTTAATTAATTAATTTTTTTATTTAATTAATTTTTTTATTTAATTAATTTTTTTATTTAATTAATTTTTTTATTTAATTAATTTTTTTATTTAATTAATTTTTTTATTTAATTAATTTCTTATTTATTAAATTAATTTATTATATATATATTGTATAAATAGTTATTAATAATTATTTATTTTATATATATATAGATAATAACTGCTATTCAAATAATACTAGTATCCTATTTGATTGGTTTTTTCGGGTATATCCTTATCGAACGTCCATTTATTAGATTGGGTGATATATTATTGTTTTCATACAACAACAAAATTAATAGTAAAAAAATTACTGATAGTAGTAATAAAAGTAATGATAATAATAATAATAATAAGTAATTTAAAATAACTTTTACTGTATATGTTTTTGAATGTCTAAATAATTTATTAATAAAAAATACTATTTGTTTTATTTTTTGTTTTATTTTTTAATATTAATTAATTAAAATAAATAGTAATAATATTTTCATAAAAGTATTTTATTTTCCAAAATAATATATACAATAATTATTATTATTATTATATTAGTAATTAATAAATTTTGTATATATGTTTTTATATAATATATTTTATATAAAAAGTATTTTATTGTATTTTTTTTTTAAAATTTATATACATTAAATAAAGTAAGTATAAAATATACTATGATTTTGATAAAAAAAAATTTTTTTTTATTAGTATTTATAATGATATAGCATAAACATTTATTTACTAAATTATTATAATTATTAACATTGACCTATTGATAAAAAATATATATATATATAAGTTATTGTAATTTATTATACACTATTAAAACTAAAATTTGAAAATAATAATAAAAAAAACTATTGAAAATAAAATATTATAGTTTAATTAAAATTTAATTATGTATACAACCAACAACAACAACAACAAATAATAATAATAATATTATAAAATATATGTTTTTTTAAATAAAAAACATATTTTAAGAAAAATTTATAGTTTAAAAAATATTTTTTTAAAAATAAAATACATTATAATTTTTGATTAAATAAAAAATAAAGTATTTTCGTAAAAAATAAATCCTTTAATGATATTGCATTTAAAAAAAAAGTTATTAAATTATTTACATTTTTATTATAAACACCTGAATACTATTATATTGAGAAATAAAAAAAAATTGTTTTATTATTATTAATATTATATTTTTTGTTTTTTTCGCTAATCATACTGTACTTACAAATAAAAAAAAACATAATTAAACTAAACTACAGTATATATATATATATATATGTATATTAAAAAATAATTAAAAATATTTATTTTTTGATACTATTAGATTATCATTATTATTAAGTTAATTAATTAGTTAATAATGTATAATAAAACTTATATAATTAATGTTATAATTGTTATATTATTTATAATTCAATCAATTTATTTAACTAATAAACAATTGTTAGTTTATTGTCATACGGATAATGTTAGCGATAATACTGTTTTAAACTATTTGTTTGACCACTATATGGATACTACTGTATCGGTAATCAACAACAACAACATCAACAACAACTATAGCCATAATACCTGTCCGTATCTAACATATAATGATAATAATAATAATAATAACAAACAGTTTTGTAATACCTATGATTTGGACAACTTTATTGATATAAGTATATATAAATATATTATTTATTTTATTTTTAGGTTAATTTACAACAACAAAAATTGTTTGTTTTATTAAATAACAAATATATATATTTGTAAACAAATATTTTTTTTAAAATAGATATTAATAATAGTTATATTAATATAATGCTATTGTTATACTATATATATATTTTTATATTTAAAAAGTTCAAACAAACAGTGATTACTTGATGGACAATCTCAATGAAAAATATCAACCGTTTAGATGGTATCATAAATTGATCAGGTATGTTTTTTAAAATTATTGTTGTTATATTTTAATTTTAATATTTAATTTTTAAAAAAATCAAATATTCACTAACATAGTTGATATATATTGTAATTTTTATTTTATTAATAAATTGTTTAAAATTTTTTTTTATTTTGTAAATATTAATTATTTAGATGTTATTTTAATTAAATTATTATTATTTTTAATTATTAGTTTAATATTTGGTTTGATAATTATTATGACATTTATTGGCACTATATTAGATTTGAAATTAAAATTTAACAATAACAACAAAAAATTAGGTAAATTATTTATTTTTTATAAAAAAAACAAATAATAATAATTTACAAAAAAAATACAATAACTTTAATTAAATTATTTAATAAATATATTAATAATTATTTAAATTTTTATTTTATTAAAAGCTATCAAAACTAAAACTAAATCATCAAAACTATATGAACTATTGTTAGCATTTTCGGCCTATACTAACACTAAACAATTATTGATGAGCACAGGTAGCCCTAATACTACTACTACTACTACTACTACTAAAAGTGATGATACAGTTATCAACTGTATTCATGGTATACGTGTTTTAAGCATGTATTTCCTAGCCCATGGACATACATCAATAGTTATACGTATAATTGCATGTATGTATAATAATATCATATTTATATTAATAGTTATTAATATAGTATATATATATATTAAATATAAAAATAATTATTTATTTATTTTAATTGTAAAATATTTCTAATAAATCGTGAATTAGAAATTAAAAAACATATTTAATTTATAATTAATTTTAAAATAATTAATAATTTATTTATTTATTTTATTAACAATATTCTAGAACTTTATTATATAAAAAAAATGCTATTTATTTTATAACAAAAAAATAATTTATATATCTTATAAATAATAATAATAATAAATAATATATCAATATTTAATATACATACACAAATACATACACAAATACATACACAAATACATACACAAATACATACACAAATACATACACAAATACATACACAAATACATACACAAATACATACACAAATACATACACAAATACATACACAAATACATACACAAATACATACACAAATACATACACAAATACATACACAAATACATACACAAATACATACACAAATACATACACAAATACATACACAAATACATACACAAATACATACACAAATACATACACACACATACATACACACACATACATATATATACATATACATACATATATACACACACATACACACTTATATATATATATATATATAGACACAAACACTTATAAATATATATAGACACAAATATACACACTCATACACATACACACTCACACACATACACAGACATACATACATGTAATATATTTTTTTGTCATCCAACTAAACACACAATTATATATATATATATTACAGATAACATTAAGGACGTCCATAAACTGGATAAACAATTAGGTATAGAAATGTTTGTCGACGGCAGCCAATGGGTGGACACATTTTTCGTGTTGTCGGGTTTCCTGAACTCTATGGCACTGATAGCTATGGCCAGAAAATTTCGGGTAAAATCGGACAACACTAACAACTACGGGATAATACAACTGTCCCGTTGTTATGCTAGTCTACTAGCGAAACGTTACCTTAGATTTATGCCATCCGTATTGGCATTGATCGGTAGTTTTATATTGTTAGAAATATGGGGTACAGGACCCCTGTGGCACCTGTATGTTAAGCTAATGGAGCTAACCTGTCAACAGTATTGGTGGACTAATCTGTTTTTTATTAACAATTATTATCAAGTAGTAAGTTTTATAACTAAAAAAATTTAAAAATTTAAAAATTTAAAATAATCATTTAATATTTTATTTTTATCTATTTTTAATTTTATTAACAACAACAATAAATAATTTATTTATTTTAAAATAATTTAAAATACAAATTAGATTTTTAAATTAAAATATCATTAAACTATTTATAATATAATAGTTTTTTTAAAATAATAAATAATAGATTTTTATAAATAAAATAAATATTTATTAATAATTTTATCATTTATTTATTTAGGGTATTATTATTTATTATTTATAAATATTTTCTAATTATTATTATTTAGTATTTATAAATATTTTCTAATTATTATTATTTAGTATTTATAAATATTTTTTCTAATATTTTCTAATTATTATTATTAAGTATTTTTTATGAATTTTAAATTTATTTGAAGTTATTTTTAATTAAAATTATTATTATTATTTAATTAATTAGTGTGTCCATCAAACGTGGTCACTGGCAGTTGATATACAATTGTTTGCAATATCACCGATATTTATCATATTATTAGCTAGCAAAAGTACCAGGTATCAATTACTTAATTAATTAATTACTTAATTAAAAAATACTAAATTAGATTCTAAATTTAAAAAAATATAATTATTTTAAATACAATTAATTATAATTATAATTTAGTTTCTTGTTTTTTTTGCGCTAACTAAATAAAACTTTTTTTTTATTTATATTTTTTTATTTATATATTTTTTTTAATTTTTAATTTTTTTTAGAAAACAAACAATTGGTTTAATCATAAATTTGTTGACAATTTTTTGTTGTTGTCTATACATTGGTTATCTATTAGTTACCTATCGTATTAAACCTACACATATACGAGCTAGCTAGTAATTTTAATAATTAATTAATTAAATTTAAAAAATATTAATAAAAACTGTAAAATATTTACTATTAATTAATTATTTTTTTTTTAAAAAAAATTTAGCGATCACAATTTAGATACAATGATTTATTTAAAACTATTTAGTCATTTAAGTCCCTATTGTGTTGGTATACTAACTGGTTATTTCTATGATAAATATAAATCAACTATCAAAATTAACATGGTAAGTTTTTTATTAATAATAATAACTAATACAGTAATATAAATATTATATACTGTTGTAAATATCTATAATTAATTATTTTATTTTTTTGATAATATAAATAATAACATAAAAATATTTATTATCATTAATAATACAGTTATATATTACTTTAAAAAAATATTTAAAAATTAAATATTATATAATATTTATTTATTGTTGTATTATAATAATAATATTATTAATTGAAAAAATATTAATAATAGTATTAATTAAATATCTAGTATTAGTTTATTTTTATTTAAAAAAATATTATTAATAATAATAATAACATAAATATTTATTATTATTATTATAGTTATATAAAAAACAATTGAAAAATTAAATATAATATTATTTATTTATTAATGTATTATAATAACAATATTATTAATTGAAAATAATATTCTAATAATAGTATTATTATATATCTAGTATTAGTTTTTATTTATTATTAATAATAATAACATAAATATTTATTATTAGTATTTTTATTATTGTTATATAAAAAAAATTTAATTAATTTTTTTGTTTGTTTGTTTGAATTAAAAACTAAGAAACTAAACATTAGTTTATGGCTAATATGCAGTTTAATTAATATTATAATATCATTGATAACCTATGGCTGGGCATCGGGTTATTTCCATGATTATTACGGCCACTGGCCAGTCCTATACGGTTCAATCAATCGTACCGTATGGTCAGTGTGTTGGGCGTATATGTTGTTTGCCAGTGCTGTCGGTTGCGGCCGACTGGCCAATCGTCTACTCGGTTGTCGGCCACTGGAGCTAATTAGTCGGCTATCGTTTCAGATCTATCTCTATCATACAGTAGTGTTGTATTATTTTGCATTCAATACAAACAAATTGATTTATTATACGATCACACATGTGGTAATTATATTTATATATATTTATTATTAATTAAAACTTTTAATTATTTAGTTTATTTTTAAAAAAAATTATTTAACAAAATTATTTAGAAAATTATTACCAAAATTAATAGCAATATTATTAACAAAAATAATTAACAAAAATTATTTAGAAAATTATTTAGCAAAAATTATTAACAAAAATTATTAACAAAAATTATTTTAAAAAATTAATTATTTTGTATTTTTGTTTATTACAATAACTATTTATATTTATTTTAGTTTTATTATACATAATATTAAGTCTATTTTTAAATTATTTAAGTTATTTGTATTTTTTAACTAAATTTAATTTTTTTATAACTTATTATTATAGTTTAAAACCTGTTTACAAGCATTACTCTATACATTGGTATTAAGTTATTTGGCATATATTATGATTGAACGGCCGTTTAGTATATTACAAAAACTAATAATTTAATTAAAATTAATTGTATTGAATAATAATAATAATTATAATTATAATAATTACACTTTTTTAAAATAAATATTAAAATATTGCATATTTTTAGAAAAAAATTAATTTTCTATAACAAATTATTATCTATAATATCGAAACATTTATTATCAATATTTACAGTATATATAAAACTATTATATTATAATTATTAATAATATTTATGGTAGTATTTAAATAGCAATTATTTATATATATATAGATTTTTTTTAAATATAAATAATAATAAAAAAATTATATATAGATATTTATATTTCAAAATAAAAAATAATTATTAAATTTTTTTTTTGAATTTATTCAATTTAATACATTATTAATTAAAAAATATTTATAATTTTTGTTGTTTTATTTTTGTTGTTTATTATTATTATAATTAAATAATTATTATAATTATATTTTTTTACGTAAATCATCCAGCTCCTGGTGATATCTGAGCGCCTTTATCTTATAGCCATCCAGTTCCTCAATTTGTGACTGGGTCAATTCATCTTTAGATTTAAATTCATCGTCTATATATGTTTGTATCTAGATTAATTTTTATATAAAATTTATTAAATTATAAACTATCTAAAAAATTGTTTAAATTATATATAATTTTTTTTATTAACAATTATTATATAAATTATATTATTTAGTTTATTATATACAGTAATTCTAATCATATGATAATTTTTAGATAATATAATTATATAAGATATTATATAAACAGTATATAATATTTATATATATATATATATAAAATTGAATAACAAGTTTAGAGATATCAATGTTTAATATTTAAAAATAGACAAATAATATTTTATACACTAACTGTTTATTATAATACACATACACATACACATACACATACACATACACATACACATACACATACACATACACATACACATACACATACACATACACATACACATACACATACACATACACATACACATACACATACACATACACATACACATACACATACACATACACATACACATACACATACACATACACATACACATACACATACACATACACATACACATACACATACACATACACATACACATACACATACACATACACATACACATACACACATACACATACACATACACATACACATACACATACACATACACATACACATACACATACACATACACATACACATACACATACACATACACATACACATACACATACACATACACATACACATACACATACACATACACATACAATATATATATCTTACCCCCTGTACTGATACCAGCAAACTGTCGATCCATTTTAGATGGTCTAACCTATCATCCGGGTGTTCGTCGATATCTTTTTCAACAATAGACTTAACTGTTTGAATCTCAGCGATAACTATCTTAACATTCAATATGAATGGATTCCATTCATAGGGTAGTCGTTCAACATTACTATCAGTTGGCAATCCTATAGTGTTGTTGTTTATTTGACAACAAATATAAATAAAATTTTTAGATAAAAATTTAATATAAATATAAATAAATTTTTTTAAATTTATAGTACTGTAAATAATGTAAATAATTTATATTATTAATTAAATAAATTAAATAATTAGTTTTTAAATATTAACCATATGCTAGACAACATAATAAACCAATCAATAATATAACTTTCATTTTTTTAAAAAAAAATATTAACTTTAAAATAATTATTTTTAAATAATAGACTTTAAAAATATATAATAAAATATTAGTTTATAATCATAAAAGTCTATTTATATAGAAAACAATAATCTTTTAAATTGATATTAATATATATATATTATATCTTAATGTGAAAATTAACATTTGTTTGTAAAATTTTTAAATATAATATATTTATTAATTAAATAATTAATTAATTTTTAGATAATCCTATCAAACAAGGATATGATTGCATAATAATTTTGAAATTTTTTAGTTATTATTTTGTTTGTTTGTTTGTTTAAATGTTTTATTATAATTATTAAGTTTTTTTTGTTTAAATATATATTAATTAAAATACAATTATTGCGTTAATTTTAATTTATTGCAGTAATATTATAGTATTTATTATACAAAAATAATTAATAAGAAATATTTAATGTAAATTATTGATAATAATAATTTAATTAAGTTTTGATTTGATTTGTTTTATATTAAATTTAAAAAACAATAAATATTTTAATAAATTGTTTAATTAAATAAAAAAATTATTTTATTATTGTTATAAAATCTATCACATTTATAATGTTTTTTTTGTTTTGCTTTTTATTTATTTTTCAACTTTTTTTTATTGATTTATATTAAATTTTTAAAATAATAAACTAATATATATTATTTATATAATATATAATTTTTTTTAAAAAAAAATTAATGAATTATTTATTAATGTACTAAAGCATCAAAAAATATTATACAACAAAATTAATAATAAGTATTATTTATTTATAATTAATGATAAATATATATATTATTAATAATATAGAGTATATAGCTATAGATAGTTAAATATTATACAGTATTAATAATATTATATATATATATATATTGATAATTAGTATATTAGAGGACATTTGTACTCATAATTAAGTTTTTTTTAATAATAAATAATTTTTTAATCAATAATATTTTCAATGTCATCATCATGTCATATATATATATATATATAATTTTTAAACAAAAAAAAATTATTATTTTTTAAAAAAAACTAATAGCATATACTGTATTATATATTATTTGTATTATAAATATCTATTAATATAAATAATTAATGAAAATCTCTACTCTATAGTGAAATTGTATTTATTTTAAAAATAAATTAAAAATATATATATATTTATAATTAATAACTTTGTACTCGAGCTTAAAGTTTATATCATATATAATTGGGACATATTTTAGTACATTTTTAGTGATTAATATTTATTTTATTTTTTATTTTTTGGTGTATATGTATGTACAGTATGTTTATGTGTAATAATTACAGTGAAATATATTACTCAATAAACAAAACAACAAAAAATTGTTAAATATTTTTAATATATAAATAGCCAAAAATTTTACTTAAAAAAAATTATATGTTATATTAGATTAACAAAAACTAGTGTTAAACTAAAAATATTTTTTTTTTTGGTTTTTTAAACATGACTTTAATTAAGTTAATTTTGACAACAATTTTATTGTTTTCATCGGTTAATTGTAGTCTAATTGTTAAACGGGATACAAATAATGGTAAACTAAAAAAATATATTGATTTAATACAATAAAATTTATTAATAAATTTTATATCAAAAATAATTGTTTTTTTAAATATAATATTTAAAATTTTATTTTAATTAATTAATTAATTAGAAATATAAATTTATTTATATATACACTATTATTAGCTATAATTATTTAATAATTTATTTATCAAAAAATAAATTGAATAAATATTTAATTAATTATTTATCAAATTATTGGAAAACTTTTAATTTTATTATTTTTTTAACTTATAATTAATAATTAATTATTATTATTATTATTATTAGCTATAATTATTTAATAATTTATTTATCAAAAAATAAAATTAAATAAATATTTAATTAATTATTTATCAAATTATTAGAAAACTTTTAATTTTATTATTATTTTTTAACTTATAATTAATTAATTAATTATTATTACTAATCAACGGATCAATAGACTCACCATTTGTAACGATTGGCCAGTTTTTGAACACAACTCTGGGCTCATGGAGGACACGACTACACCAACAACAACAACAACAAACTAACCTAACGTTACCGTCGATGGACTCAATTCTGGCAAATGCTGGCCAACTGCGCGAACAATTGCGTACAGCGGCTGGCGATGCCATTCAGGGACTACGCGGACAGTTGGCCAACATTACCGAACTAGTAAATCGCCGGCTAAGGGATGCGGCCACCAATGAGGCCGGTGTTGTCTACGGACTGTACGGTCAAGTGGTCAACGCCAGTTCGGGTATTGGCAACAACAACGAGACCCGACAACGTGTTAGGCAAGCGTTTACAATGGCCGCCGACCGATTGGCCAATTTGAGTGCCCAATTGGCCAACAATTCCATTGAAGTGGCCCGTGATTTGCGTACGACAGGTAGTCAACGATTTAGGCGGGCATTGGCCAGAGCTGGCAACGATACTTCCCGAGCTTTGGGTGCCATACAAGTGGCCATCGATGCTGTACGCAATGAAACTGCGGTTCAACTAAATAGCACTGCTGTCCAGCAAAACGTAGCCAATCTGGCCACTAGTGGCCGTAAATTGGCCGGACGTTTGCGCGATTTAGTTAACACTACAGCCGCTGATTTAGGCCAACAAATGGACAGCCGAAGTATGGAATTGCGTGAAACCGGTAGACAATCGCTGGTATCGTTGCGCACAGGTATCGATAGTTTGGCCAACAGTTTAGGCCAATGGAGGACGACTAGTGTATCGGATAGTGTGACTACCGGTGCCGATAGTCTACAACAATCGGTTAGTAATGCCGTACAAACAGCTGGCGATAAGTTAACCAGAGAGTCGATGGCCATCGGAGATCAGATTCAAGCACTGGTAGCTCAGCAAACAAATACAAGCCCTATATTTGGCTATTAGTTAATAATAATAATAATTTTTTTCAAATGATTTTTATTTTAATTATACATTTATACAATTTGGTCACAATTTTTTTTTTGTTAATTTTTTTTAAAAATATTTTAATTATATAAAAATATATAATATTTTTTTTGGTGGTTTGATTTGTTTGTGTATAAACTATGTTTAAAATAATTTTTTACTAAAAAAATGTAATAAATATATTATGGTTTACTAATTAAAATTACAATTAATAATAATTAAATATATTTTTTATTGATTTACTTTTTAAAAAAAAAAACTTAAAAATTTCCACTAAATTTCAAATAAATATAAATATCTATATATATATATATATATATATATATAATTATTGATAAAATTTTTAACTAACTAATTAACAATGAAAACAATATATTTATTTGAAATTTAGTGGAAATTTTTAAGTTTTTTTTTTAAAAAGTAAATCAATAAAAATTATGATATTTACTGTAAACTGTATATTATTTTAAATATATAAAATATTTATAATATTATTAATAATATTTATCAAATGTGTCAATGTATTATATATAATATATATATATAAATAAATTATATTTATATAATACATTGACACATTATTATTTGATGATATTGTATTGCTATAATATATGATAGCAATTATTTATATTAATTTTGTTTATATATAATATATATTACTTATAGTGTAAATATTATATAAATAGTAATTTATTATATATACTGTATAAACAAACTGATTAGTATTTAAACAAATTAAATTTATTTTTAAAAAATTAATTTAATAAATAATTTTTAAAAAAACTCAAATAAAATTAAATAATACTGTATTTATATTGATTTTTAAAAAAATACTTACATAATAATCACTAATAAATAATAATAAGTAATATAAAATATTTTTGTTTTTATATTATATCTTAAAACAATGCAAACAATTACCGATTATTTACTATCAGTTAAATTGTTTATAATTATAATAACAATAATTGTTTTGGTCCTAACATACTATTATTTGTAAGTAATTTTATAATTAATTAATTAAATTAATTAATATTAAAAAAATTATTTAATATTATTATTAAATAGCAAATGGAAACGTGTGTTCAGCTATTGGACGGTACGGAACATTGCCGGTCCCAAACCGATACCCGTTTTCGGTAATTATCTGTCAATATATCTAAGGCCAATGCCCGTAGTAGAGATCGATTGGTACCGAAAATTTGGCCAAATATTTGGGTAAATATAAGGGAGGGGGGTTAGGGTAGGGTTATGGGGGGGGGATGGGATACCCTAATAAAAACCTAACATTTTGTTTTTTTTATGGACAGCCAATACAGTGGCTCCGAACCGGTCCTAATTGTCGGCAGCCCTGACCTAATCAAACAGATTCTGGTCAAAGATTTTTACCGATTTCGCAATCGTCGGGATATCGGGTATCGGGATTCAGACAACAATCCTATTGCACTTAATATGTTCAACGCACGCGACAACACGTGGAAACGCGTCCGAGCGATATCGTCACCAACGTTTACTTCGGGAAAATTGCGGAAACTTTACCCATTGATTGGCCAGTGTTGCGATGATTTTGTTGGCCATTTAGACCGTTTGGTTAGCAGCCGACGGCAGCAGCCGGTCGGGTCGATTGAATTGAAGAAACTGATGGGCGATCTGACTATGGATGTGATAGCCCGGTGCGCGTTCAGTATCAAACCCGATACCTATACCGATGACCAGTCGTCAGGCGAGTCGAGCAATCAGTTTATCCGCGCGGCAAACAATGTATTCAATATATCTGTTTGGCGACTGATATTGATTCGGTTAATACCGGCACCGGTCAGGCGGAGTCTACCCGTACTCAGGCAACTATCAAGCAATGGTTCCGAGTTTTTCATACGACTGGCCCGCAAACTGTTGGCAATCAGGAGACGGGAGACAACAGGTGCTGCTGCTGATGGTGATAGTGATGGTAGTGTCAAACATAACGACTATTTGCAACTATTGATGGACGCCGAGCACCGGGATGTAGTCAACAACGATGATAATGATAATGAAGACGAACTGACAGCCAATCGTGAAGCCCTGACCAACGTTACGGCCAAACGTTTGACCGAATCGGAAATCCTTGGCCAATGTTTTGTGTTTTTTTTGGCCGGTTTCGAGACAACCGCCACAACACTAGCATTCTGTACGTATGAGTTGGCATTGAATCCGCGACTACAGGACCGGCTGTACGATGAGGTTAACGGTGTAGCCGTTCAGCAAACCGACGGTAATATTGATTACGAACTACTCCTGAGTCTACCGTTTCTCGATTCGCTGATATCGGAAACATTGCGAAAATATCCGCCATTATTACGATTGGAACGTAAGGCCATGGAAGACATCGAACTGGTCAGTGATAGCGACAGCACCGGTAGTATTCAAGTAGAAAAGGGAACCGTATGTGAGATACCTGTCTATGCTATACATCACGATCCTGACAACTATCCCGAACCCGACCGATTCAATCCCGACCGGTTTATGCCCGCCAATCGACACCAAATCAAACCCTATACATACCTGCCGTTTGGTTCGGGTCCCCGAAATTGTATTGGTATGCGATTTGCACAGTTAGAATTGAAGCTAACATTGGCTAAACTGTCCAAACTGTACCGATTCAGTCGTCTACCCGATCTAACTGATGTCCCCGTTGTCTACAATAAAGGTCGTGACCTGTTGCAGGCCCGTCGGCTAGTGGTTGGCATCGAAAGACGGGATCCAATAATTTAATAATAATAATAATATTTTTTTTATATCTAATACATAACTAACTATACATTTCAATAACATAATAAAAATGTTATTTAATTATTATATATTTTTTTTATTAATTAAGTTTTTAAATTCATAGTGTTATAGATTTGATTAATTTGATTATTTGATTATTTTTTTTAAATAAAATATTTGTACTTATTATGTATATGTAATTGAAATACATGTATAATATCATATTAGTAATTTAATTATATTTTAAATATAAACAAATATTATTTACTATTATTTTTTTTAAATAAATTTATATTTAATTTTTCTTTAAAATATTTGTAATAAATTTTTTTTTGTGTTTATAAGTTTAAAATTATTGTCAAAAAAATTAGATATAATTATTTGATTAAATATAAAAAAAAAATTATATTTGTTTATACTGTTAAAAATTTATATAAATTTAAGTAAATAGAATTAAAAGTTCAAAATACATGTACTTTTTAAAAATTTTGAGACATATTTATTAATATATATATATATATATATATATATATATATATATATATATATATACAGTATATATATATATAATAAACACTATATGTATTTAAAACTGACTGTAATTTACTAAAAAAAAAAAAATTTATAAAATTATTTACTGTTATCATTAGTATTGACTATATATAAAGTAAATAAAAAACAAATTTTAGTCAATACTAATGATAACAGTAAATAATTTTATAATTTTAGTAAATTACAGTCAGTTTTAAACACATATAATGTATATATATATATATATATATTATTATATTAATAAATATGTCTTAAAATATTTAAAAAGTACATATATTTTGAAATTTTATATAAATTTTTAACAGTATAAACAAATATAAACATTTTTTTTTAATTTGTAAAATGTTGTAAAAACTTTATAGATGTATTTAATCAAATATTTTTTTTTTGATAATAATTATAAACTTATAAACACAAAAAAATTAACAAAAATTAAATATAATTTTATTTAAAAAAAAATAAAATAGTTATATAATATTTGTTTATATTTGAAATATAATTAAATTACTAATTAATTGATTATTCAATTCTCGTCCCGTTTTTCAATGCCAACCACTAGCCGACGGGCTTGCAATAGGTCGCGGCCTTTATTGTAGACAACTGGGACATCGGTTTCGGGTAGTCGTCTAAATCGGTAGCGTCGGGACAGTTTAGCCAATGCTAGCTTCGACTCTAACAATGCAAATCGCATACCAATACAATTTCTGGGACCCGAACCAAATGGCAGGTATGTATAGGGTTTGATTTGGTGACGATTGTCGGGCATAAACCGGTCGGGATTGAATCGGTCGGGTTCGGGATAGTACTGAGGATCGTGATGTATAGCATAGACCGGTATCTCGCATACGGTTCCCTTTTCCACATGAATACTACCAGTTGTATCGTCGCCGCCCAGTTGTATATCATCCATAGCCTCCCGTTCCAGTCTCAACACTGGCGGATATTTCCTCAGTGTTTCCGATATTAGCGAATCGAGAAACGGTAGACTAGATAGTAGTTCGTAGTCTATATTACCGTTTTGCTGAACGGCTGCACCGTTAACCTCATCGTACAGCCTGTCCTGTAGTCGGGGATTCAATGCCAACTCATACGTACAGAAGGCTAGTGTTGTGGCAGTTGTTTCGTAGCCGGCAATGAAAAATATGAAACACTGGCCAAGTATTTCGTCCTCAGTCAGCCGTTTGGTGGCCGACAATACATTGCCGATGGCTTCCCGATTGGCCAGTACTTGATCCGTATGGCCTTCATTAAGGTAATGTGCTTCGTGCTGCTGGTCGCTAGACTCCCGATGCTCGACACTACCATCACTACCGACACCAGTGTATTCGGCATCCATTAGTAGCTGCAAAAAATCGTTATGTTTGGCCAGAGTTTGTCGCCGATGGGCCATCAGTTTGCGGCCTAAATGGACAAAAAAGTCGACATCCGGTCCGCGAAGTATACGCCTAACTAGCCGTAGCCGACGTACCCAAGTAGGCAATACGGCTGACAATATTAATCGCCAGACGGGTATCGCGAATATACTGTTTGCCGATCGGGTAAACTGATCGCTATCGGGATCATCATCGGTATATGTATTGGGTTTGGTAGCGAATGCGCACCGGGCTATAACATCCATAGTCAATTGGCCCATTAGTTTTTTCAATTCAATACGACTACTACTGTCCCGTCCGTGGTTGACCATACCATCTAAATGCCGGTCAAATTCATCGCAACACTGGCCAATCAATGTATACAGTTTGCGTAGTTTTCCCGATGTAAACGTTGGCGATGCTATCGCACGGATACGTTTCCAGGTGTCGTCCCTCGTGTTGAACATGTTTTTCGATAGCGGATCGGTAGCCGATGATGATCTAGAGCCCGATCCCTGTTCTCGGCGATTGCGAAATCGGTGAAAATCTTTGACCAGTATTTGTTTGATAAGCTCCGGTCGGGCAACGGTTAGGTCAGGTTTATCGCCAGTGTATGTCCTGTTTTAGTAGTGTTTTGTAATAATAATAATTAATATATTATATAATATGACAATTAAAATAAAATTTTGTTTATAATGTTATTATTATTATTATTATTATTATAAATATTTAAATAAATACCCGAATAATCGGTTTGTTTTTTTATACAGTAATTATAATTTATATACAATTTATTGATATATAATATATAAGGAAATTAAATATGTATCCGTAATATCGGAGAGACTACACATTTTCCTTTATATTTAATAGTTGCTTTTATTTTAAAAAATTTATTAAGGTACAATTTAAAAATACATAAAATTGTCTTCATCTATATTAAATTTATTTTTCAATTAATTAAGTAAATTTCCACAACGAAGCCCTTAAGCAATTAAAATTTATTTTTGACTAGGTGACTTTTGTAAAACATTTTTCCATAAAGAAAAAATTGAAGAAAATTAAACAAACTCAATTTTGATTGTGTGATACCTAATCTATACGTTGCTTATGTTATCAATAATCAAACATATGTATTAATTTTTTTACAGCATATTTTCTAAAAATTTGGTCAAATATTGGCTATATTTTGAGTGTAAATTCATATTATTTTTATTTTTTAACAATATCTTTTTATTGAAACAAAATATATTTTGATATTTTTTACTTAAATGACCTCTAATAAATTAAATATTTAAATTATAAAAAATATTGGATTTTTGTCTATTAATATTTATAGAATAACATTTTAAACCTATATTGGAGTTTCAGACTTTGATTCATTCTCATCTTAATACTTTTAATATTAAAAATTTAAAAACTACTTATATTTAAAGCTAATATAATGAAAATTTGAATTAACTTGAAAAATATTTGTTGTCATTTTTATTTTATTATTTCTAGGTGACTAATCTAAAAAAGTAGAATTTAGTAATTATAAGTCACTTGACTTTAAGCTTTCTACCATTTTTATCTTCAATAAGACAATAAAATAAATATTTAATAAATAAAGACAAATAAATTTATTATTCTGAAAATAATGGAAATAAACAAGTCTAAAGTTAGGACTTTCAAAAATTACGGTTACATATTTAATCTCCTTATATATATGAGAATAAAAATTAGTTAAAATGTTATTAATTATTATTATTATTATTTTAATTAAAAAAAATACCCGTATAGTCGTCCAAACTGTCGATACCATTGCAATTCCAGTTGGGGTTTAGGTATGAAAAATTTGGCCAAAAAATTACCGAAAATCGGTAACGGTTTTGGACCGTCAATATTACGCGAGGACCAGTAGCTTAGTAGGCGTTTCCATTTGCTAATAAAATAATAATAAACAAAAAAAACAATTAATTTAGAAATAAAAGATTATTAAACTATTATTTTTATTAAATACTATTTTTTATAAATTATTATTTTATTATATTTATTTTTTACTTACAAATAATGATAGGTTAGCACTGAAACAATTGTTGTTATAATTATCAATTGAATGGGTCCTAAAAAATCGACAATTTGTGATAATATAGACATTGTTTTTATGATTATTAATAATAATAATACTAATTAAACTTATTTAAAAAAAATTAATTTATTATATTTATTATTATTTTTTAATTAATTCATCATATTTTTCATAAAACTTTCAAAAAATATATATTACTATATACTGTAAATAAAAATAAACTAAAATTTATTACTAACTATTAGTACAGTATATGTTTTACTAAATATTTTCAGTTTAAATACTGTTGTGTTTTAGTTAACAGACAAGTTGTTTATGTTTTAGGTTTAATAAAATATTAATAATTAAAAAAAACAAAAATGATTAAAATATTTTTGTATATACTGTATGATTGACAGTGTTGTACGGTTGCCACATAACAATGCAGGATTTTTTTTTAATTATAATAATATATTATAATATAGGGTATAATATGAAATAAATTAGTTATTTAAATAATAATAAGTTATTAATTAATTAATTATTTCATAAATTAAAAATTTATAAAAAATATTATATTAGTTTTTTTCAGTAATTTTTTTAATGATTATTATGGCAACCGTATAGACAAGCAATATATATATAAAAAATATTTTTTATTATTTAATTTTTTTTGAAAAAATAGATAATATATCAGCTTTTAGTATATTTCTGTTATCAAATAATATTTAAGATATATATATATACAGTATATACTGTATATATAATTAGTATTTATTCAAAAAAAAGTTTAATTAACTTAAAAGTAATTTAATTTTTATTTAAATTCAAAAAAAAAATATTTAATTGTAATAATAATTACAAATAAATTTCTTATAATTAAAAAAATCAAAAAAAAAATATTTACATTATTTATATATATTTTATATAAAAAAATAATAATATCATAATATATGTCTATATTCTAAAAAACTAATAATTAAAATAAATTATTTTAGTTATTTCCCGATCCCGTCCCCGGCGTCCACTCGTTTTTCGATGCCTACCACTAGCCGTCGGGCTTGCATCAGATCGCGACCTCTATTGTAGACTAGCGGGACATCGGTATCGCCGACACGACTGAATCGGTAGACTTGGACTAACTTAGCCAATGCTAGTTTGGCCTCCAGGAGTGCAAATCGCATACCAATACAATTTCGTGGTCCGACACCAAACGGCAAGTATGTATAGGGTTTGATTAGCGGACGATTGTCGGGCATAAATCGATCGGGATTGAACCGGTCGGGTTCGGGATAGTATTCAGGATCGTGATGTATAGCGTAGACTGGTATCTCACATACGGTTCCCTTTTCCAATTGAATACTACCAGTGCTATCGTCACCGCCCATTAGTTTGATGTCTTCCATAGCCTCCCGTTCCAGTCTTAACAGTGGCGGATATTTCCGCAATGTTTCCGATATTAGCGAATCGATAAACGGTAGACTCGACAGTACTTCGTAATCTAGTTTACCGTTTTGCTGGTTAACCGCACCGTTAATCTCATCGTATAGCCTGTCCTGTAATCGGGGATTCAATGCCAACTCATACGTACAAAACGATAAGGTTGTAGCAGTTGTTTCGTAGCCGGCAATGAAAAACAGGAAACATTGGCCAAGTATTTCGTCCTCAGTCAGCCGTTTGGCTAATACGTTGCTCAGGGCTTCACGATTGGCCAGTAGTTCATCGGCACCTTCGTTGACGTGATGTGCTTCGTTCAGGTCACCGCTAGACTCCCGGTGCTCAACACTACTGTCTGTATTATTGTTGTTGGGGTTGTGCTCGACATCCATCAGTAGTTGTAAAAAATCATTGTGTTTGGCCTGAGTTTCCCGTCGATGAGCCATCAGTTTGCGGCCTAGATTGACAAAAAAATCGGGTCCAGCCGTACCGCGTAGTAGTCGACTGATAGGCGGTAACCGCCGTATCCGTGTCGGCAATATGGCCATCAATATTATACGCCAGACGGGTATCGTAAATAGACTGTTTGCCGATCGGGTAAACCTATCATCCGGATCGGTATATGTATTGGGTTTGGTAGCGAATGCGCACCGGGCTATAACATCCATAGTCAGGTCGCCCATCGATTTTTTCAATTCAATTGATTCCCGACGGTTGGCCTTACCGTCCAGATGGCCGACAAATTCATCGCAACACTGGCCAATCAATGTGTACAGTTTGCGCAATTTCCCCGACGTAAACGTTGGCGATGCTATGGCACGGATACGTTTCCACGTGTCGTCACGCGAGCTGAACATATTTTTGGCTATCGGTTCATTGGATCGGGAACTGCCGTTATCCCGGCGATTGCGAAATCGATGAAAATCTTTGACCATTATTTGTTTGATCAGTTCCGGGTCGGCAACGGTTAGGTCAGGTTTATCGCCAGTGTATGTCCTGTTTTAGTAGTGTTTGTAATAATAATAATAATTAATATATTATATAATATGATATAATATTAAATAAAAATATGTTTAAAATGCTATTAATTATTATTATAATTAAATAATAAATAAATACCCTAATAATCGGTTTGTTTTTTATACAGTAATTATAATTTATATACAATTTATTATATATTATATATAATATATATGAGAAAATAATTAGTCAAAAAATAGTTATTAATTATTATTATTATTAATTTTTATTATAAATATATAAATAAATACCCGAATAGTCGGCCAAACTGTCGATACCATTGCAATTCCAGATAGGGTTTAGGTATGAAAAATTTGGCCAAAAAATTACCGAAAACCGGTAACGGTTTCGGACCGCTAACATTACGAGAGGACCAGTAGCTTAGTAGGCGTTTCCATTTGCTAATCAATTAAAAAAATAAGTTTATTAAACAACATTTATTTAATTATTTTTTAAAATTTAATTTTCACTTACAAATAATTATATGTTAGCACTGATACTAATATTGTTATAATTGCCAATTGAATGGGTCCTAAATAATCGGTAATTGTTAATAATATAGACATTATTGTTATTATTAATAATAATTATTAAATTAACTTTTTAAATAAATAAAAATATTTATTCAGAATATTTATTATTATTAAGTCATATATTAATTCATATATTACATACACAAACAAAAAAAACTAAATTATTATTAATTGTTATTTATTTATATTAAAAAATAAACTTCTGTTTAAATAGTAGTTAGCAAATAATATATACTAAAATGTTAGTTAAGTTTATATATATATATATTGCAAAAATAAAATGTAAAAAAAATTATTAATGCCATGTGATATAAAATTTATTTATTATTTTTTAAAAATAAAATTGATAATGTATCAGTTAAGTACAATTTTTTTGTTTGTATTAGCAATGACATTTTAGATAAAAAATAAATAACTTATATATATATATATATATATATATTATAGAAATATTAACTTAATATACTGTAGATAAATCATATTATATATATATATGTATAAACAATTTAATTTAATAGAAATTTTATAAATTATAAATAAATTTTTAAACAATTTTAAAAAAAATTATTTTAAAATTATTATAATAATTAAGTAATTTTTTTTATAAATATTAATAATAATAAGTATATTACATGAATTAAACGAAACTATTATATTATGATAATATAATTTTTTTTAAATAAATAAAAATAACAAAATAGTGTAACTGATGTACTTAACTGATAAAATTTAATTTATAATTACTATATTAACTATAATTAAACACAAAAATAAAAATTGTACTAAACTATAGATAAAGTACAGTAAAGTACAGTTATTTTTGTTGTATTAATTTTAATAAAAATAAATCTAATCATTAATGTTATTGTACTGTACTTATAATACATGTACTTCAAAAATATATTATAATTATAAATAATTTTAGTTAATTAAAAAAAGTAAAATATAATTATATTATAATAATTTTAATAATTATTTTATAGTATTTTATTGTTTTCTATAGAAATAAAAAAATTAAATCAATATTATTTGGACTTAAATTTATTTTAATTAAAAAAGTAAAATAATATAATCTATGATTTTATCTTGGTAATTTTTTTTAATAAACTATTTATTTTTTTATTTTTAATAATAATAATATTAATTTTGAGTTTTAATATATTTAATTACTTGGAAAAAAACTAACTAACTATTAAAATGTAAAAAAGGGTTTATTTTTATAATAAATATTTTAATTAATAAAATGGTTTTTTTAATTACAGTAAATGTAATTAATTAATTTTTACAAAAATATTAACATTAATTTAAAAAAAAAATTAATTATATTTATTTAGTTAATTAATATACATTTTATAATAGACAGCTAATAGACTAATAAATAAAATATTTAAATAAATAATAAAATATTTCACTATTAATACAACAATGATTAACAACAATAACAATCAAGTAATTAGTTGTAAACTATTTAAACTAATAATGTTTGTATTGCTAATCACTGGACAACAATTATTGTCAGCTAAACCTCCTAAACCTGGCACCGGTATGTATTAAAAAAAATATAAATTTATATATTATTAATTAATATTTTTTTGTAAAAAAAATATTAGGGGCTGTTCACATATTACGTTCACACTTTTTACGAAATCTAGACCCCCTCCTCCTCCCTCACTATGCTCGCAATTGTTTTCATGTAGTCAATTAAAAAAAATTAACCGCTACCCTCTCACCCAGTCCACTACAAGAAATAAAATATTATTTAAAATACGAACGTTCTTAACGACTACCCTACCCCCTGCCATCCCCTTGATCGCAAAAATTCGCTTTGACTAAACCCCCCTCCCCCACCCTCCACCACAAAAAATATAATATCTAAATGCGAACGTTCTTAATGACTACTCTACCCCTGCCATCGCCCTTGTTCGCAAAAGTTTGCTTTGTTAATCACCCCCCGCCCCTCAAATGCGAACGTAATATGTGAATCACGCCATATTGAATTTTATTTTTATATTTTTTTTTATTAAAAAATAACTATTTTTATTAACTATAGATTGTTTAAAGATTAATGCTGAATGTGAAAATGCTAACCTGGATTGAACTGTTTAAAAATTTTTATTTTATTTTTATTTTTTTCATTAGATAGACTACTAGTTAAACTATTTGATTTTATAAAATCAAATATTATTAGGCGTGGTTCACATATTACGTTCGCACTTGAGGGGAGGGGGGGGGTTAGCCAAAGCGAACTTTTGTGAACGAGGGGGAGGGGAGGGGTAGAGACTTTGAGAACGTTCGCATTTAGATATTTTATTTCTTGTGGTGTGGGGGGGTGGGGGGTACCGGTTAGGGACATGCGAACGTAATTTTTTTTAATGACTACATGCGAACAATTGCGAACATAGGGGAGGGAGGGGGTCTAGATTTCTTAAAAAGTGCGAACGTAATATGTGAACAACGCCTTATTGTAATTATAATATATTTAAAAAAAAAAATAATAATAAATTATTCAAATTATTAAACACTGCTAGCTTTGACTCTAACTGTTCAAATCGCATATCAAAATACAATTACTGGGGACCCGAACCAAACGCGGCAGTGGTATGTATAGTGCCGTTAGTTTTAATTTGGTGACGACTATCCCGGGGGGGGGGGAGGGCATAAACCTATCGGTAGGGATTGAACTGTTTGGGGGTGGGAGGGTTCAGGTGGGGGATGGTGATAGACAGAGATGTCGACCACTAGCCGTCGGGCCTGTAATAGGTCGCGACCTTTATTGTAGACAACTGGGACATCGGTTTCGGGTAGTCGTCTAAATCGGTAGCGTCGGGACAGTTTAGCCAACGCTAACTTTGACTCTAACAATGCAAATCGCATACCAATACAATTTCGGGGACCCGAACCAAACGGCAGGTATGTATAGTGTTTGATTAGGTGTCGATTGTCGGGCATAAACCGGTCGGGATTGAATCGGTCGGGTTTGGGATAATATTCAGGATCGTGATGTATAGCTTAGACAGGTATCTCGCATACGGTTCCCTTTTTTTTTATCCACTTGAATACCACTACCAGTAGTTGTATGTCATCCATAGCTTCCTGTGTTTTAAACGCAAAAATAACGGATATTTTCAACGGAGTGTTTCCCGATATTAGCGAATCGAGAAACGGTAGACTCGCTAGTAGTTCGCAATCTATATGGTTGGCCATTGTTTTTGCTGAACGGCTGTACCGTTAATCTCATCGTATAGCCTGTCCTGTAGTCCGGAGGTTAGTCAACGGCCAACTCATACGTACAGAACCCGAATGTAGTGGCAGTTGTTTCGTAGCCGGCAATGGAAAAACAGGAAACATTGGGCTAAAGGATTTCGTCCATAAGTCAGCCGTGTTTGGCCGCCAATACGTTGCGGTCAGTGCTTCACGATTGGTGCCCGGAGTTCATCACCGTATCGCCATCATTGACCTTCATTGTGCTTCAGGTTCAGGTCGCTGCTAGACTCCCGGTGCTCGACATTGTTTGACTTATTATTATTATTATTATTGGTGTTGTTATGCTAGACATCCATAAGTATAGTTGCAAATCGTGTGAAACGGTAGATAAGCTTTTGCAGTTGAGTCGTCCCGCGAGCTAAACATATATATATATATACTGTATATATATATATATATATATATATATCGGTTCATTGGATCGGGAACTGCCCTCCAATTGCCCGACAATTGGGCTAAATCGGTGAAAAATCATTGACCAGTATTTGTTTTTTGATGAGCTCCGGTTACGGGCAACGGTTAGGTCAATGTTTTCTCGCCAGTGTATGTCCTGTTTTAGTAGTAGTGTTTTGTAATAATAATAATAATAATAATAATAATAATTAATATATTATATAATATGACAATTAACAAAATAAATTGTTTTTATAATGTTATTATTATTATTATTATAAATAAAAATAATTACCCGACTAAACGGCCAAACTATCGATACCATTGAAATATAATACATATTATATAAATAATTCAACAAAATATGTGTTTTTAATTTATGTACTAATAATATTAATAATTAAATTAACAAAATGGTTGTTTTTTTTTTAATTAATTAAATTAATTTTTGTATTCAATTTATACATAACTATTCACAAGTCAATTAGTCAAGTAATTAAAATTTACTTTAAATAATCACTTATTTTTATTAAGTTAATTAACTAATTAATTATTTTAACATTTATTATTATTTAGCGCCATTTAAAAAAAATGTCTAATATAATTAAATAAACTATTTAATTAGTTTTTTTTGTATGTATGTATGTATATATTAATTAATTAATAAAATGGTGATTTTTAATTTTAATTAAATTTTATTTATATTCAAACTACATATAATAGCATAATTCATAGATTAATAGTTATTTAAACAAAATATAGTATAGTTGTTAAGATTAGTTTTTATTTTATTTTTTTTAAATTTAAGAAAATTTCTAAATAATAATTATGATTAACAACAACAACAACAACAACAATCATCAAGTATTTTACAAACTATTTATTATGCTATTCATTGCAATCATTATTATTATGCAGTTTTTAGCTAATATTACAAATGCAGGTATCTATAAATAAATAGATAAATATACAGTATATATTGATGTTATTATTTTTTTTTTTAAAAAAAATTAATTTTTTAAAATTAATTATATAGATTGTGTAAACAGAGGGGACATATGCGATAAAAATAAACAAAATTGTTGCCAAAAAGTTGCCTGTCGTCAGAGTAGAAAAATGTCTGATTATCAAAATTATAGATGTTAAAAAATTAACATAACATGTTTATAATAAAACAATTAATTATTACATTATTATTATTAATAATAATAATGATAATGATAATATAATTATACATTAATTATCAATATTATAATAAAATATTTATTTTATTTAGTAATTAATATTTGTCTGTTTGTATGTGGTATATATATATATATATATATATATTAATAAATATAATTTTAAAAATAATAATATAAATTAATAATATAAAT